TACAACCAGGACCAGACCAGACCAACAGGACCAGACCAGACCAGACCAGACCAGACAGACCAACAGGACCAGACCACCAGGACCAGACCACCAGGACCAGACCAGACAAACAGGACCAGACCAGGCCAGACCAGACCAGACCACCAGGACCAGACCAGACAAACAGGACCAGACCAGACCAGACCAGACCAGACCAGACCAGACCAGACCAGACCAGACCAGACCAGACCAACAGGACCAGACCACCAGGACCAGACCAGACAAACAGGACCAGACCAGACAAACAGGACCAGACCAGACCAGACCAGACCAGACCAACAGGACCAGACCAGACCAGACCAGACCAGACAAACAGGACCAGACCAGACCAGACCAGACCACCAGGACCAGACCACCAGGACCAGACCACCAGGACTGGTATCTCTGGTCTGTCTTTAAACCATATTTTGTTGTTGCTTGAGAAATCTAATGAAATAATAAATGAAATGATATGAAGTGATACGTGAACAGGAGGTTCACTTCTACCTCCTCCAGTCCTCCGTCTGTCCTCCATTAGTGCTCCAACATGGAAATAATGGACGCAGTCTTCTGGGGCAATGCTCCAAATCCAGCTGCTGCTTCCATCTGCTCTGAGCTGAATCACCTGCTTCCTGCTCTTTTTGATTCTACCCTCAAGACAATCTAACATGCACATGATTTGCTCTGAGCACTGTGGTTCTCACTACTATTATTAAGAATCAGTCTCATGATGCTCAAAGCAGGAAATAAAGATGAACTTTTTATGATTGAGATGAATTTGTAAAGACGGCCGGTGAAGGGGAGGTGGAGGAGGGCGAAGGAAACGTCAGCATGAAGGGACTAAAGGGAAAGAGTCCTATTTAAAAAGAAACAATGATAGGCTAACAAACAGGGAGAGACACCATGCTATTGGTTAGATGAGGCAGCTGTCCAGACAGGTGATTAGCCAATGACAGCTCCAGAAAATGAAGCCTACGAGAGAGGGGTGAATGAGGAATAGCCTACGACCATGAAGGTAGAGCGTCTCCAGACTGAAGGTAGAGAGTCTCCAGACTGAAGGTAGAGCGTCTCCAGAGAGTCTCCAGACTGAAGGTAGAGAGTCTCCAGACTGAAGGTAGAGAGTCTCCAGACTGAAGGTAGAGAGTCTCCAGACTGAAGGTAGAGAGTCTCCAGACTGAAGGTAGAGGTCTCCAGACTGAAGGTAGAGAGTCTCCAGACTGAAGGTAGAGGTCTCCAGACTGAAGGTAGAGAGTCTCCAGACTGAAGGTAGAGAGTCTCCAGACTGAAGATAGAGCGTCTCCAGACTGAAGGTAGAGCGTCTCCAGACTGAAGGTAGAGCGTCTCCAGACTGAAGGTAGAGAGTCTCCAGACTGAAGGTAGAGAGTCTCCAGACTGAAGGTAGAGCGTCTCCAGACTGAAGGTAGAGAGTCTCCAGACTGAAGGTAGAGAGTCTCCAGACTGAAGGTAGAGAGTCTCCAGACTGAAGGTAGAGCGTCTCCAGACTGAAGGTAGAGTGTCTCCAGACTGAAGGTAGAGAGTCTCCAGACTGAACTTACTCCAGAGCTTCACCTCCCCAGAACAAACTTCTTTATCGTTCTTTCTTTCTTCTTAGAAACATTTTTAAACTCCTCTTTATTCTTTATTCTTTATTCTTTATTCTTTATTCTTTATTCTTTATTCTTTATTCTTTATTCTTTATTCTTTATTCTTTATTCTGCTGCTGCTGATTTAAAAAGTGCTTTACAAATAAATGTGACCTGACTGAGACAGACTCGTAGACCTTAAGGATAAGAAGACTATCTAACATGTGCAGACAACAAACAGTGATGAGTAAACCTCAAACATCATCAGAGTCCAGAGAGAGTGAGGTCAGAGACGAGGTGTGACTTCACTTCCTGTCAGCGTCTCTGCTCTGTCTCTGGTCACTTCCTGTCAGCGTCTCTGCTCACTTCCTGTCAGCGTCTCTGCTCTGTCTCTGGTCACTTCCTGTCAGCGTCTCTGCTCTGTCTCTGGTCACTTCCTGTCAGCGTCTCTGCTCTGTCTCTGGTCACTTCCTGTCAGCGTCTCTGCTCTGTCTCTGGTCACAGTAACTGAAGTTTAACAGAGTGTTGCTCTTTACTCTCTTTTTCCTGTTAAAGGTCAGGGGTCAGATCCCAGCTGTTAAAGGTCAGGGGTCAGATCCCAGCTGTTAAAGGTCAGGGGTCAGATCCCAGCTGTTAAAGGTCAGAGGTGAGGTTACAAACACTGCTCATTAAAGGGTTAAAATCCTGAGTGACATCATTATTTCTGTGCTCAGTTGGTGTATGAAGCTGATTGTGTTTCATGTGTATGCAGGTACAGGACTGATCACCAGGGGGCGCTACAGCTCCTCCAGCTCCACAGTGTGTAGCTGTGCAGAGAAACAGGAAGTGATGTCGCTGATCATGAGCTTTAATAACGAGTGAGGATGTTTCCACCTGGAGCTCTCTGTCTCTCATTGGATTAAACATGAACATCATTTTCTTACTAAAGAGCTGATAACCAATGAAATGCTGTCGTTCACTCACAGCCTGACGGAGGAGAGACGAGTCATCTTCTTCTTTGTGTTATCAGGAAAGGGGAGGCAGGTATTCTAAGTTTTCTTCTTCCTGCTTCCTGTTTGCTCATAAACAGTGATTCATATTGTTGAAACCAAACACTGAAATGAGCAAATAAATCAAATATGAAATAAAAATATGAAGTGGTAACCTTTAGAGAAGAAGAAAGTCATAATTTAAGTTTCAAAACAATAAAACAATGATTTATTCATATAAATGTTAATTTGTGCTTTGTCGTAGCAGGTATGATCGAACACATATGAAGGTGTTATTGTGTTTATAAAGAGATTTCATTCTGCTAGCTGTTTGACCTCTGACCTCTGAAGAGACACATCAGACAGTTTGAGGTTTCTGTCTGTTAAAATAACCTTTTCCTTTCTGTTACTCTCCCTCTCTCTCTCCTGCGTGCTCCTAAGGGCTCTCCCCTCATGCAGCTCACCTGTGGACAGGGCTGCCTGTGGGGGGGGGGGGATAAAGGGGTGACTTTCTGGGGTCCAATCGCGTGGGGAGAGCCCCAGAAAGAACTTGTTAACAAACTTATTTCAGTCGGATCCAAAGAGTGATGAGAGCTACCTGTGGAAGCTCAGGGATCAGGAGTAAGAAGAGCAGGTGAGAGGAGGTCGCGAGGGGACTTTTAGTGTTTCCTGTGGAGGGGGGGGGGCTTTGTCTTTAAATCCTGAGTGTTTCATCATAAAAGACCCCCACCATCTATCTCATTACCTGTTCTCCCCTCCTACCATGAGGTAAAAGTGTGCCCCCCCCCCTCTATCTCACACTAATCATTAACAGAGTGCCCCCCCCTCTATCTCACACTAATCATTAACAGAGTGTGCCCCCCCCCCTCCTCTATCTCACACTAATCATTAACAGAGTGTGCCCCCCCCCCCCTCTATCTCACACTAATCATTAACAGAGTGTGCCCCCCCCCTCCTCTATCTCACACTAATCATTAACAGAGTGTGCCCCCCCCCCTCCTCTATCTCACACTAATCATTAACAGAGTGTGCCCCCCCCTCCTCTATCTCACACTAATCATTAACAGAGTGTGCCCCCCCCCCCTCTATCTCACACTAATCATTAACAGAGTGTGCCCCCCCCTCTCTATCTCACACTAATCATTAACAGAGTGTGCCCCCCCCCTCCTCTATCTCACACTAATCATTAACAGAGTGTGCCCCCCCCCCCCCCCCTCTAGACTCTGAGGTTCATCTCTGTTCTCTTTCCTCTGAACCAATCACATAAAGAGCAGAGACTTGAGGAGCTTCTCTCATTGGAGGATTTTAGGAGGCGGACCCATGGGGCTGCAGATGTTCTCCTTGATGTGTTTGTATTTTGTTTTTATTTATTATACTGGAATGTTTGGCTGCTCGTTGTTTGTATTTTGTTTTTATTTATTATATTGGAATGTTTGGCTGCTCGTTGTTTGTATTTTGTTTTTATTTATTATATTGGAATGTTTGGCTGCTCGTTGTTTGTATTTTGTTTTTATTTATTATATTGGAATGTTTGGCTGCTTGTTGTTTGTATTTTGTTTTTATTTATTATATTGGAATGTTTGGCTGCTCGTTGTTTGTATTTTGTTTTTATTTATTATACTGGAATGTTTGGCTGCTCGTTGTTTGTATTTTGTTTTTATTTATTATACTGGAATGTTTGGCTGCTCGTTGTTTGTTGTGCTGCTGCACCATGCTGTCTCTTCTTTCTCTCCTGGTTCAATAAAATAAAGTTAAACAGACAAACATGAAGAAGTGCTAGAACATAGAAACGTTGAAAGTGTAAATACAAAGAAGAAAAGAGCTCGAGACACAGAATCAGTTGCTGCATGAAAAGCCACAAAAGAAATAGTAAACTATTTTATTGACATGTTTTAAATTCTGCTATTTACAAGTTCTCATCACCTCACAGCATGACAGTTTGAATAAACAGACTTAGTTTATGTACAGAGAGAGCCAATCAGAGAAGAAGAACATCAGTGTGAGTACATGAAGACTGACTGCTGTCTCAATCACACACCTCCGCACCAGGTGAGTTTATTAACCACAAATCACATTACTGCTGACTGAAACTCAACCAGGAAGCCAAAAGAAGACAGAACAGGTTGTGTACAGTTACACATTTAGCCACCAGATGGCGGTAAACTCAAGAGAGTGGCGCTGCAGTCAGAGCCTTCAGACGATCCTATACCTTAATGTTTCCTATACTTTATGATGAAGGGGATCGACCATTCATTCTGCATTAAGCAGTAAAATGAAGTCTGTGTTATGCTGCAAAGCATTGTGGGAAAACTGTGAGGTCCAAAATGAAATCTTTCTTTAAGGCTCACAATCTATTTCTTTGTACATTCTTAATTTTTCATTTTTTATTTAAATTGTACTGTGTTCACTTTTTGTCTGCAATCTTTGCTCTTTGCTGCTGTAACAATGTAAATTTCCCCATTGTGGGATAAATAAAGGATTATCTTGTCTTATCTTATCTTATCTTACGAGGAAAACGGCTTCTGGAGCCAATCAATGGGGTCAGTCCCACAAGGGGGGCCTTGAATGAGGACTCTGAATGACTCGGGTCCCTTGGAGGGTTATGGATCTGTTATCAGAGCTAAAGACTGAAGCTGCTGGAGTCCTGATAAAGAGTCTTCAGCCGTGTTCAGACTGAGAGTAAAGCAAACTGCTGTCATGTTTTTCTGCTTTAGTTAGAAATAAACCATAAGTATTATCAACAGAGCATCATGTGTTCTGTTTACCTCCCTTGTCTGTGGACCTGTGTGGGTTTAGGCAGTCTTTGGGCTGAACAAAACCAAGGAGAGTTTCTCTAGTTAGAACACGACTAAAGCCGATGATTTTGAAGTTTCATGCAGATCGTGTGTTGTTAGTCGTGCAGTGTACGCTGAGGCACGAGAGGCTTTTCTGACGTTTGATTGTACAACTGATCCTACCTGGACAGCGTCTGAAATCCCCATAGCAACAGCAGGCATGCCTGTCTAATCTTTCTCTCCCCTCGGTCATGAAACTATGGCAGAAACACCCGCAGACCTTCAGCTGACAGAGAATATCTACGTAGCTCATGTTTGTGACTCTTTTAAATAAAGCAAAACTCACAGGGGGCGCCAAAGTTAACACAAACCAAAAGTTCCTCATGGGAGCTTTAACTCATGAGATTGATTTACTGTCAGTCTGAACACAGCTTCAGGTTTCAGCCTCAGTTTTAAGTTTAAATGATTTAAATGGTCAACTGTGGTGACATCAGAAAAATGTCGATATGTCGGTGACTGAAATACAAAACAAGATCATTGAAAACACATCAAGAATTCACGTCAGCGGCTTCAAGGTTCTAAACCTGGTTCTGTTGGGTGAGGTCCTCTGACACGCTGTTGAACTCAGTGGCCCGAGTACTCATCCCGAGGTACTGCTTCAGGAACTCGCTGAAACGTTTCTGGTTGTTCCACTTGCGTGCCGACTTCCGAATGCCGATGAATCCTCCGTACCTCTTCTGGTAAGATCGTCCTGGAGAGACCAGCTTCCTGTAGCCGTGCCTCCCTTTCACGAAGCCTCCAAACCTCTTGGAGACGCTCAGACCTAAATCCCCTTGTCCTCTCGCCACCATGTCAGCTGCCCCTTCTTCCTGCCCGGCCTCCTCCTCATACTCATCCTCAAGGGACAGGGCATTCTGGGAGTTGTAGGCTGAGTTCATCTGGCTGCCTTTGACCCCGAGTGCCCGGGTCATGTGATCAAAGCGTTGCATTGCAACAGGAAGCAACAGGCCTCCCTCCGCCTGCTGATCCTCCTCCTCAGGAAACAGGGCCTCGGCCTCCTCCTGAGATCTTTTCGGCTTCATACCTGTGAGCGAGGACAACGGAGAGGACATCACTTTACGACAGAAGTCTCGGTAGAAAGCAGGGGAGACGTCGCCTTCACACTCAGAGAGACACACCTGACAGAGGGGAAGACAAGAGATGGCTTTTTAAAATCTCTGCACTGTAAATGTTTCAGAGAAAGATATCAGTAACTTTGTCTTATCAGCATGCTATGATGAGACAAAGGGACACTGACAGCGTATATTTGAAGACATTGTTTGCTCTCGTCCTGTCCAAACGCAGACATGTCATTCACTGGAGGAAACACACATCTGTCCTCAGGAATCAATTAGCAACATCAAATTAAAACTCAAATGCCAAAAGGGTCATGTGTTGAGTCAGACGGGAAGGACTGTGATGAGCCTCCTATTACTTTATTATCACATGTTGGCTGCTGGTGTCTGTTAGTGTCGGTTTGTGAGAGTCAGGACTCAGAGTTAGGAATGAGAGTCAGGACTAAAGGTCAGGACTGAGAGTCAGGACTGAAGATCAGGACTCAGAGTCAGGACTAAAAGTCAGGACTGAAGGTCAGGACTCAGAGTCAGGACTAAAGGTCAGAACTGAGAGTCAGGACTCAGAGTCAGGACTGAGAATAAGGACTGAGAGTCAGGACTAAAGGTCAGGACTGAGAGTCAGGACTCAGAGTCAGGACTGAGAGTCAGGACTGAAGGTCAGGACTCAGAGTCAGGACTAAAAGTCAGGACTGAAGGTCAGGACTCAGAGTCAGGACTCAGAGTCAGGACTAAAAGTCAGGACTGAGAGTCAGGACTGAAGGTCATGGCGGAAAGTCAGGACTGAGGGTCCTGACTCAGAGTCAGGACTAAAAGTCAGGACTGAGAGTCAGGACTAAAAGTCAGGACTAAAAGTCAGGACTGAGAGTCAGGACTGAGAGTCAGGACTAAAAGTCAGGACTGAGAGTCAGGACTAAAGGTCAGGACTGAGAGTCAGGACTCAGAGTCAGGACTGAAGGTCAGGACTAAGAGTCAGGACTCAGAGTCAGGAAAAAAAGTCAGGATTGAGAGTCAGGACTGAGAATCAGCACTCAGAGTCAGGACTGAAGGTCAGGACTCAGAGTCAGGACTAAGAGTCAGGACTGAGAGTCAGGACTGAGAGTCAGGACTGAAGGTCATGGCGGAAAGTCAGGACTGAGGGTCAGGACTCAGAGTCAGGACTACAAGTCAGGACTGAGAGTCAGGACTGAGAGTCAGGACTAAGAGTCAGGACTGAGAGTCAGGACTGAAGGTCATGGCGGAAAGTCAGGACTGAGGGTCAGGACTCAGAGTCAGGACTACAAGTCAGGACTGAGAGTCAGGACTGAGAGTCAGGACTAAAAGTCAGGACTGAGAGTCAGGACTGAGAGTCAGGACTAAAAGTCAGGACTAAAAGTCAGGACTGAGAGTCAGAACTAAAGGTCAGGACTGAAGGTCAGGACTGAGAGTCAGCACTCAGAGTCAGGACTGAAGGTCAGGACTAAGAGTCAGGACTCAGAGTCAGGAATAAAAGTCAGGATTGAGAGTCAGGACTGAGAATCAGCACTCAGAGTCAGGACTGAAGGTCAGGACTCAGAGTCAGGACTGAGAGTCAGGACTCAGAGTCAGGAATAAAGTCAGGATTGAGAGTCAGGACTGAGAATCAGCACTCAGAGTCAGGACTGAAGGTCAGGACTCAGAGTCAGGACTGAGAGTCAGGACTGAAGGTCATGGCGGAAAATCAGGACTGAGGGTCAGGACTCAGAGTCAGGACTCAGAGTCAGGACTAAAAGTCAGGACTGAGAGTCAGGACTGAAGGTCATGGCGGAAAGTCAGGACTGAGGGTCAGGACTCAGAGTCAGGACTACAAGTCAGGACTGAGAGTCAGGACTGAGAGTCAGGACTGAGGGTCAGGACTCAGAGTCAGGACTCAGAGTCAGGACTAAAAGTCAGGACTGAGAGTCAGGACTGAAGGTCATGGCGGAAAGTCAGGATTGAGGGTCAGGACTCAGAGTCAGGACTACAAGTCAGGACTGAGAGTCAGGACTGAGAGTCAGGACTAAAAGTCAGGACTAAAGTCAGGACTGAGAGTCAGGACTGAGAGTCAGGACTGAGAGTCAGGACTAAAAGTCAGGACTGAGAGTCAGGACTAAAGGTCAGGACTGAAGGTCAGGACTGAAGGTCAGGACTCAGAGTCAGGACTAAAAGTCAGGACTGAAGGTCAGGACTCAGAGTCAGGACTCAGAGTCAGGACTAAAAGTCAGGACTGAGAGTCAGGACTGAAGGTCATGGCGGAAAGTCAGGACTGAGGGTCAGGACTCAGAGTCAGGACTAAAAGTCAGGACTGAGAGTCAGGACTGAGAGTCAGGACTAAAAGTCAGGACTAAAAGTCAGGACTGAGAGTCAGGACTGAGAGTCAGGACTAAATGTCAGGACTGAGAGTCAGGACTAAAGGTCAGGACTGAGAGTCAGGACTGAAGGTCAGGACTAAGAGTCAGGACTCAGAGTCAGGAAAAAAAGTCAGGATTGAGAGTCAGGACTGAGAATCAGCACTCAGAGTCAGGACTGAAGGTCAGGACTCAGAGTCAGGACTAAGAGTCAGGACTGAGAGTCAGGACTGAGAGTCAGGACTAAAAGTCAGGACTGAGAGTCAGGACTGAGAGTCAGGACTAAAAGTCAGGACTGAGAGTCAGGACTAAAGGTCAGGACTGAGAGTCAGGACTCAGAGTCAGGACTGAAGGTCAGGACTAAGAGTCAGGACTCAGAGTCAGGAAAAAAAGTCAGGATTGAGAGTCAGGACTGAGAATCAGCACTCAGAGTCAGGACTGAAGGTCAGGACTCAGAGTCAGGACTAAGAGTCAGGACTGAGAGTCAGGACTGAGAGTCAGGACTGAAGGTAATGGCGGAAAGTCAGGACTGAGGGTCAGGACTCAGAGTCAGGACTACAAGTCAGGACTGAGAGTCAGGACTGAGAGTCAGGACTAAGAGTCAGGACTGAGAGTCAGGACTGAAGGTCATGGCGGAAAGTCAGGACTGAGGGTCAGGACTCAGAGTCAGGACTACAAGTCAGGACTGAGAGTCAGGACTGAGAGTCAGGACTAAAAGTCAGGACTGAGAGTCAGGACTGAGAGTCAGGACTAAAAGTCAGGACTAAAAGTCAGGACTGAGAGTCAGAACTAAAGGTCAGAACTGAAGGTCAGGACTAAGAGTCAGGACTCAGAGTCAGGAATAAAAGTCAGGATTGAGAGTCAGGACTGAGAGTCAGCACTCAGAGTCAGGACTGAAGGTCAGGACTAAGAGTCAGGACTCAGAGTCAGGAATAAAAGTCAGGATTGAGAGTCAGGACTGAGAATCAGCACTCAGAGTCAGGACTGAAGGTCAGGACTCAGAGTCAGGACTCAGAGTCAGGAATAAAAGTCAGGATTGAGAGTCAGGACTGAGAATCAGCACTCAGAGTCAGGACTGAAGGTCAGGACTCAGAGTCAGGACTGAGAGTCAGGACTCAGAGTCAGGAATAAAAGTCAGGATTGAGAGTCAGGACTGAGAATCAGCACTCAGAGTCAGGACTGAAGGTCAGGACTCAGAGTCAGGACTGAGAGTCAGGACTGAAGGTCATGGCGGAAAATCAGGACTGAGGGTCAGGACTCAGAGTCAGGACTCAGAGTCAGGACTAAAAGTCAGGACTGAGAGTCAGGACTGAAGGTGATGGCGGAAAGTCAGGACTGAGGGTCAGGACTCAGAGTCAGGACTACAAGTCAGGACTGAGAGTCAGGACTGAGAGTCAGGACTAAAAGTCAGGACTAAAAGTCAGGACTGAGAGTCAGGACTGAGAGTCAGGACTGAGAGTCAGGACTAAAAGTCAGGACTGAGAGTCAGGACTAAAGGTCAGGACTGAAGGTCAGGACTCAGAGTCAGGACTAAAAGTCTGGACTGAAGGTCAGGACTCAGAGTCAGGACTCAGAGTCAGGACTAAAAGTCAGGACTGAGAGTCAGGACTGAAGGTCATGGCGGAAAGTCAGGACTGAGGTCAGGACTCAGAGTCAGGACTAAAAGTCAGGACTGAGAGTCAGGACTGAGAGTCAGGACTAAAAGTCAGGACTAAAAGTCAGGACTGAGAGTCAGGACTGAGAGTCAGGACTAAAAGTCAGGACTGAGAGTCAGGACTAAAGGTCAGGACTGAGAGTCAGGACTGAAGGTCAGGACTAAGAGTCAGGACTCAGAGTCAGGAAAAAAAGTCAGGATTGAGAGTCAGGACTGAGAATCAGCACTCAGAGTCAGGACTGAAGGTCAGGACTGAGAGTCAGGACTCAGAGTCAGGACTGAAGGTCAGGACTAAGAGTCAGGACTCAGAGTCAGGAATAAAAGTCAGGATTGAGAGTCAGGACTGAGAATCAGCACTCAGAGTCAGGACTGAAGGTCAGGACTCAGAGTCAGGACTGAGAGTCAGGACTCAGAGTCAGGAATAAAAGTCAGGATTGAGAGTCAGGACTGAGAATCAGCACTCAGAGTCAGGACTGAAGGTCAGGACTCAGAGTCAGGACTGAGAGTCAGGACTGAAGGTCATGGCGGAAAATCAGGACTGAGGGTCAGGACTCAGAGTCAGGACTCAGAGTCAGGACTAAAGTCAGGACTGAGAGTCAGGACTGAAGGTCATGGCGGAAAGTCAGGACTGAGGGTCAGGACTCAGAGTCAGGACTACAAGTCAGGACTGAGAGTCAGGACTGAGAGTCAGGACTAAAAGTCAGGACTAAAGTCAGGACTGAGAGTCAGGACTGAGAGTCAGGACTAAAAGTCAGGACTGAGAGTCAGGACTAAAGGTCAGGACTGAAGGTCAGGACTGAAGGTCAGGACTCAGAGTCAGGACTGAAGGTCAGGACTAACAGTCAGGACTCAGAGTCAGGACTAAGAGTCAGGACTCAGAGTCAGGAATAAAAGTCAGGATTGAGAGTCAGGACTGAGAATCAGCACTCAGAGTCAGGACTGAAGGTCAGGACTCAGAGTCAGGACTAAGAGTCAGGACTGAGAGTCAGGACTGAAGGTCATGGCGGAAAGTCAGGACTGAGGGTCAGGACTCAGAGTCAGGACTCAGAGTCAGGACTGAGAGTCAGGACTGAGGGTCAGGACTGAAGGTCAGGACTCAGAATCAGCACTGACGGTCAGGACTGAGAGTCAGGACTAAAAGTCAGGACTGAAGGTCAGGACTGAAGGTCAGGACTCAGAGTCAGGACTGAAGGTCATGGCGGAAAGTCAGGACTGAGGGTCAGGACTGAAGGTCATGGCGGAAAGTCAGGACTGAGGGTCAGGACTGAAGGTCATGGCGGAAAGTCAGGACTGAGGGTCAGGACTCAGAGTCAGGACTAAAGGTCAGGACTGAAGGTCAGGACGGATTGTCAGGACGGATAGTCAGGACTCAGAATCAGGACTCAGAATCAGGACTGAAGGTCAGGACTCAGAATCAGGACTGAAGGTCAGGACTGAAGGTCAGGACGGATAGTCAGGACGGATAGTCAGGACGGATAGTCAGGACTCAGAGTCAGGACTCAGAATCAGGACTCAGAATCAGGACTGAAGGTCAGGACTCAGAGTCAGGACTCAGAGTCAGGACTGAGAGTCAGGATTGAAGGTCAGGACTGAAGGTCAGGACTCAGAATCAGGACTGAGAGTCAGGACTGAAGGTCAGAACTGAAGGTCAGGACTGAAGGTCAGGACTCAGAGTCAGGACTGAGAGTCAGGACTGAAGGTCAGGACTGAAGGTCAGGACTCAGAGTCAGGACTGAGAGTCAGGACTGAATGTCAGGACTCAGAATCAGGACTGAAGGTCAGGACTGAAGGTCAGGACTCAGAATCAGGACTGAAGGTCAGGACTTAGAATCAGGATTCAGAGTCAGGACTGAAGGTCAGGACTGAAGGTCAGGACTCAGAGTCAGGACTCAGAGTCAGGACTGAGAGTCAGGACTGAAGGTCAGGACTCAGAATCAGGACTGAAGGTCAGGACTGAAGGTCAGGACTCAGAATCAGGACTGAAGGTCAGGACTTAGAATCAGGATTCAGAGTCAGGAATAAAAGTCAGGATTGAGAGTCAGGACTGAGAATCAACACTCAGAGTCAGGACTGAAGGTCAGGACTCAGAGTCAGGACTGAGAGTCAGGACTGAAGGTCAGGACTGAAGGTCAGGACTCAGAGTCAGGACTGAAGGTCAGGACTAACAGTCAGGACTCAGAGTCAGGACTAAGAGTCAGGACTCAGAGTCAGGAATAAAAGTCAGGATTGAGAGTCAGGACTGAGAATCAGCACTCAGAGTCAGGACTGAAGGTCAGGACTCAGAGTCAGGACTAAGAGTCAGGACTGAGAGTCAGGACTGAAGGTCATGGCGGAAAGTCAGGACTGAGGGTCAGGACTCAGAGTCAGGACTCAGAGTCAGGACTGAGAGTCAGGACTGAGGGTCAGGACTGAAGGTCAGGACTCAGAATCAGGACTGACGGTCAGGACTGAAGGTCAGGACTAAAAGTCAGGACTGAAGGTCAGGACTGAAGGTCAGGACTCAGAGTCAGGACTGAAGGTCATGGCGGAAAGTCAGGACTGAGGGTCAGGACTGAAGGTCATGGCGGAAAGTCAGGACTGAGGGTCAGGACTGAAGGTCATGGCGGAAAGTCAGGACTGAGGGTCAGGACTCAGAGTCAGGACTAAAGGTCAGGACTGAAGGTCAGGACGGATTGTCAGGACGTATAGTCAGGACTCAGAATCAGGACTCAGAATCAGGACTGAAGGTCAGGACTCAGAATCAGGACTGAAGGTCAGGACTGAAGGTCAGGACGGATAGTCAGGACGGATAGTCAGGACTCAGAGTCAGGACTCAGAATCAGGACTCAGAATCAGGACTGAAGGTCAGGACTCAGAGTCAGGACTCAGAGTCAGGACTGAGAGTCAGGATTGAAGGTCAGGACTGAAGGTCAGGACTCAGAATCAGGACTGAGAGTCAGGACTGAAGGTCAGAACTGAAGGTCAGGACTGAAGGTCAGGACTGAAGGTCAGGACTCAGAGTCAGGACTGAGAGTCAGGACTGAAGGTCAGGACTGAAGGTCACGACTCAGAGTCAGGACTGAGAGTCAGGACTGAATGTCAGGACTCAGAATCAGGACTGAAGGTCAGGACTGAAGGTCAGGACTCAGAATCAGGACTGAAGGCCAGGACTTAGAATCAGGATTCAGAGTCAGGACTGAAGGTCAGGACTGAAGGTCAGGACTCAGAGTCAGGACTCAGAGTCAGGACTGAGAGTCAGGACTGAAGGTCAGGACTCAGAATCAGGACTGAAGGTCAGGACTGAAGGTCAGGACTGACGGTCAGGACCCAGAGTCAGGGCGGATAGTCAGAACTCAGAGTCAGGACTGAAGGTCAGGACTGAAGGTCAGGACTGAGAGTCAGGACTGAGAGTCAGGACTGAGAGTCAGGACTGAAGGTCAGGACTCAGAATCAGGACTGAAGGTCAGGACTCAGAGTCAGGACTCAGGGGTCAGGAACGAGAGTCAGGACTGAAGGTCAGGGCGGATCTGCACAATAAGAGACTGTGGACTCACTTCAAACATGCAGCTTAACACCTGCTGGGGATGAATGTAAACAACATCCTGAAGTGAGAACTCATATTATTTGAAGACTAGTATGTGTGTGTAAGGAGGCGCTCACCACTGTGTTGAAAGTGATCTGTTTGGGCAGGATGTTGCTGCAGGACAGGCAGTCTGCCTGGCAGTCACTCTGTGCAGGATGACACAGACAGAGCAGCAGCAGAGCCATCACGGTCTTCATGGTCCCACGGGCTGCTGCACGCCAACCAGCAGAAAAACGAACATGTTAGCATACAGGTATAAATCACCGTCTCTCTTCTCTGTAATGCACTGCTGCAGGTTATTTTGTGAACATAGATCCACTGTCTGAGGCTGAGCGGTCAAACACTGAGAGCATGTTCAAGTTCAGTCAGGCTCAGGCGGTACAGAAAACGACGAGTCAGGATCATTACGATAACGTTGTTGTCCCCTTGGTGAAGTTTGTCTCGGACTCAGAGTGTTGCAAACATTCAGCTGCTGTATAATCAATAAAGGAAAACAAAGGAAGCTGAAGAGCCAATAACACAGTGTGAAATAACACACGAATCACTATCCAGTGAACACACCACTCTGTAGTGCACATCATCATACCTTAAAGAGTGAACTCATTGTATCCCACAATGCATTGTGAAAAGACATTTATAGTTTTGAGCTTTTGCATTGCATTATGGTTCAAAGATTTGTACGAGCAGAAAGTAGCGTTCATGGTTTACTCTTGTTTTGTTAGTTTTCTTTCCTAGTGTTAATTTTTATTATTTGGGTCTTCAGTGTTTCCTGTTTTATTTTGTAATTTCTCGTCCTTGTGGTTCTTTGTTCTAGTGGTTTTGATACATTCTTGAGTTCTCTGTGTATCTTAGTGTCTTCACCTGTGTCTTTAGTCTCACCTGTGTCTTTAGCCTCACATGTGTCTTTAGTCTCACCTGTGTCTTTGGTCTCACCTGTGTCTTTAGTCTCACCTGTGTCTTTAGTCTCACCTGTGTCTTTGGTCTCACCTGTGTCTTTAGTCTCACCTGTGTCTTTAGTCTCACCTGTGTCTTTAGTCTCACATGTGTCTTTAGCCTCACCTGTGTCTTTAGTCTCACCTGTGTCTTTGGTCTCACATGTGTCTTTAGCCTCACCTGTGTCTTTAGCCTCACCTGTGTCTTTAGTCTCACCTGTGTCTTTGGTCTCACCTCTGTCTTTGGTCTCACCTGTGTCTTTGGTCTCACCTGTGTCTTTGGTCTCACATGTGACTTTAGTCTCACCTGTGTCTTTGGTCTCACCTGTGTCTTTGGTCTCACCTGTGTCTTTAGTCTCACATGTGTCTTTAGTCTCACCTGTGTCTTTGGTCTCACCTGTGTCTTTAGTCTCACATGTGTCTTTAGTCTCACCTCTGTCTTTAGTCTCACCTGTGTCTTTAGTCTCACCTGTGTCTTTAGTCTCACATGTGTCTTTAGTCTCACCTGTGTCTTTAGTCTCACCTGTGTCTTTAGTCTCACCTGTGTCTTTGGTCTCACCTGTGTCTTTAGTCTCACCTGTGTCTTTAGTCTCACATGTGTCTTTAGTCTCACCTGTGTCTTTAGCCTCACCTGTGTCTTTAGCCTCACCTGTGTCTTTAGTCTCACCTGTGTCTTTAGTCTCACATGTGTCTTTAGCCTCACCTGTGTCTTTAGCCTCACCTGTGTCTTTAGTCTCACCTGTGTCTTTAGTCTCACCTCTGTCTTTGGTCTCACCTGTGTCTTTAGTCTCACATGTGTCTTTAGTCTCACCTGTGTCTTTGGTCTCACCTGTGTCTTTAGTCTCACATGTGTCTTTAGTCTCACCTGTGTCTTTAGTCTCACATGTGTCTTTAGTCTCACCTGTGTCTTTGGTCTCACCTGTGTCTTTAGTCTCACATGTGTCTTTAGTCTCACCTCTGTCTTTAGTCTCACCTGTGTCTTTAGTCTCACCTGTGTCTTTAGTCTCACATGTGTCTTTAGTCTCACCTGTGTCTTTAGTCTCACCTGTGTCTTTAGTCTCACATGTGTCTTTAGTCTCACATGTGTCTTTAGTCTCACCTGTGTCTTTCTTCCCTTCTGTGTCAGTTGTTTAAATAAATGTTTTTGGTTAGTATCTGCGGGTCCACCTCTTGTTTTCCAGCCGTTCCTTGATAAAGACATGTTTGTTAGGTTAACTGGTGACTCTTAATGTTAATTGGTGGTTATGTGAATGTGTCAGTCTCTATATGTCAGTCCTGTGATTGACAGGTGACACGTCCAAGGTGTAACCTCGCCTCTTGCCCAATGACAAGTAGTATCTGCTCCAGCCCCTCCGTGACCCCAAACGGGTAAAGCGGTATAGATAACAGATGGATGTGTATGACACAAGAAATCTGACCCAAGAAAGGTTGTGTTCTTGCATTTATAAAAATGCAAGTGAGAGACATGTCTTACAATAAAAATGGACATGGAGCACGATAAAGTAAAACATAAATGGAATGAGTTCAGACAGGAAGTGAGACTAACAGCAGATTAAAGAAGTGGCAAAGACAGACTAGAAGAATAAAGACAGAAAGAGGAATGTTTTGACCTTCTTGTGGTGGGAACAGCGCAGACTGGTGAGTCTGACGTCAGAAACACAACCACAGTTTTCATCTCATTAAACAAACTCGTTAACTCCTTTAATTGATGCCTCAATTAATGCCTCTGGCAACACACTGAGTCATTGTTTGCTGCTGACACACACACACACACACACACACACACACACACACACACACACACACACACACACAACACACACACACACACACACACACACACACACACACACACACAAACACAGACACAATGTCTCTGCTGTAACTTGTCATTATCTCTTAAACTAATTAGTCTTCAGTCTTTGTAATGTCTCGTTAATTAAAACTTGTTAAAGTGTAATATTTCTACAGTTCATCCCAGACAACACGATCTTCATGTACGGGTCTGTAGGTGTTTAATTCTGGTTTAGTCCATGAAGAAGCAAAGGTACATGAAACAGGAGTTCTGTAGGACAGCTGGGGGGCGGAGCCAGAGGAACAGCTGGCTGTGTGTTTAGACAAACAGCTTGGGTGTATCTCATCTCTGCGTCCTCTTGTCATTGACTCTGTGACTTGGCTTCAATGAAAATGTTCGGCCATCATCATGAAGGATAAAGCATAAAGGAGACATCACGTCATTTCCTCTCTGTCTAACGAGGCGGCACGAGCAGAATCTGGGCTTTCAGAAAAGAAAACAGATACTGCGACGACGTCAGGACTTAAGTCAAAGATCCTCCTGTAGGATGGTGGAGGATGGTGGAGGCTGGTGGAGGATGGATGGTGGTAGAGGATGGTGGAGGCTGTTGGAGGATGGTGGTGGATGGTGGTGGATGATGGTGGTGGATGGTGGAGGACGGTGGTGGATGGTGGGGATGGTGGTGGATGGTGGAGGATGGTGGTGGATGGTGGTGGAGGATGGTGGAGGATGGTGGTGGATGGTGGTGGATGGTGGTGGATGGTGGTGGTGGATGGTGGAGGATGGTGGTGGATGGTGGGATGATGGTGGAGGATGGTGGTGGATGGTGGTGGATGGTGGAGGATGGTGGTGGATGGTGGTGGATGGTGGTGGAGGATGGTGGAGGATGGTGGTGGATGGTGGTGGATGGTGAGGATGGTGGTGGATGATGGTGGTGGTGGATGGTGGTGGATGATGGTGGTGGTGGATGGTGGTGGATGGTGGTGGATGATGGTGGAGGATGGTGGTGGATGGTGGTGGAGGATGGTGGAGGATGGTGGTGGATGGTGGTGGATGGTGGTGGATGGTGGTGGTGGATGGTGGAGGATGGTGGTGGATGGTGGTGGATGATG